CTCGATTTTTTTTCGAGTTCATAACATTTCGCTTCATTAACTCTACTCACCTGAGCGGAGTGGCCCACTACCTTTTCCAAGAATAGTTTTCCGTATCACTGACTTTGGGGCGTGTTTACTTCCGTTTCGCTTCAGATATTGGTTTGTTCAGGTGAGCGTCGCTCGAGCGATTTACAACAACGAAAGCGAATTCGACGAGGAATTACCGTTTCAACGAGGTGACGTGCTCCGAGTGCTCAGCGAGCGACCTGGTCAGTTTATAGTTTGTCGCCCTTTGTCGCCTAGCGGATAGGACAATAAAGCGACTCATTCAATGACTTCAGTACTCTTTTCACTTTTACTTCAAATGAAAAATTCCTGCGTTCGATGCACTGAATCCGCTTCAAGTATTCATGATCTAGGGAGGTCGGAGAAATGGAAATTTTCACGAACATTGCTCCTTTACTGTGATTAGCTGTGCTCTGTCTAGTTGAAGTAGTCAGCTCAATATGATGAAAATACTTTGAAAAATTTCTACGGTTATTTTTGCAAGTATTTTCGATATTGCCTCTTGGTTTTTTGTGCTTCTTCGCCAGTTTTCGTGTATAATAAGTTTGGCCGATAAGTTTTGGAGGCGGGGGACGGGGTGATGGGAGCCTAAATTATTACCCAAAGGGACAATTTCTGCAGTTTTGTGCGCGCCTATTCTTCTCAGCCATCGTGCACATTCAGTACCACAGGGTGGCCGTTCCTCAGGGCGCTCCCAGAAGTTGAATTTTTCCCAAAGTCAACCAGTTCCCCATTGTGATGAGTAGTATCCTTGGGAATACTCATTCGCCCTGGAGCGTCACTTTCAACATTCCACTTACCACAGAGAATTTTCCTTTACAGTACCCAGTAAGCTGTGGGCGGCTCCCCCTCCTTGACGGCACTCTAGTTCCGAACCTATTTTACTTTGCAGTGACGTTATTGTTAAAGAGGTTATTGCCACAGAGGCTTATGGGTGGGGCTGCGTGAAGAACCGGTTTCGGCGGTCTTTCATGTGTCGAATTTCGGTTCCTTCGGTTCCAATTTTGTATGCATTTGTTCACCGGAAATTATTTAAAAGTGTTCATTCTTGAGAGAGCAGGAGTTCTCGGGGCACCTTGGGTTTATCTGGGTACAAGTAAGAAGTTGAGGTGAGCATCACAGAAAACGAAATCCACGTTCATCGTTTGGGCGGTGTCAGGCCAGCTCCCTGTGCGGCCCTCATTGGTTCTGAAGACGGGATAGAGAGAGGGGCAGGTTGCAAGAAAGGCTAAGTGGAAAGGCCTCACGCCGCCCACACAACCAGCGTGGACTGTGCTCGTAATAGAGTTAATGGTGGGCTTTATTTCTTCCATACAATCGGTATTCAGAAAGATGCTGCATATTTTGAGCACCACCAAAGTCCGCTTGAATCCATCAAAGTTTATTTATTTATTTATTGAATTCTTTCTCTTTTTTTTTTATTATTCAATGTTATCGAAATTCTTCCTCTTTCTTCTTTTTATTCGTTCCGAATATCCCTCGTTTCGTTCTAAAAGTGGCTGGCGGGGACAATCTACTATGTGATTAATCGATTTTTCAGAATAACTTTACTGATTCGAAACAAATGAACGAAAAAAAGAACAAAAAACGTCATGGTCTTGCAATCGTTGGGTTGCCAATCGTGATTTGTTTTCTTAATTGATCGTTTTTTTTCTGTTTCTAATTATGGTGTAATATTTATCCATTTGTTAATTAATTTATTCATTTGGTGCACGTACAGGTGCGCTTTTACAACACTTGAGCTGTAGCTCAGGTCTGAAACAGAATACAATCATACGCTAACTCTAACTGTGAGGAACGGACAGTCGTAAGCCTGAGAGGTGAGAAGTTCCTTTAGGCGGAACTCCGCCGGAGGATCAAAAACAGATAGATAAGTACCAGTTACAGGCTCCTCCAAACTGTGTAAGCTTCATTAATCTGGTGGAATTACTTCAGTGGCGGATGACGATAGGGAAAACGTCAGTCCTAGACGACAACCAAGCATGGAATAGGAAACTGAGTTTTTGGATGTTAGGTATTCCCTGTCCCTAACAACTCAGTTTCGGGTCCGCCAACAGGGTACAGCATTGTGTGTTGAAAATGGTGGTAGGTAGCACTCAAGTGATGACGCCGGGCAAGTCTCCCTCCCCCTCTCACCTTCTTTTCAAACACCTACCTTCCGGGTTCCTTTCACTCGTTCACAGAACACATCCCGTCGAGTGGGCGCGGGGGGGAGAGGGGCAAGGTATTTCCTGTTTCATATATACATAGTATACATGAAACAGGAAATACCTTGCGAAAATTCAACAACCGGGGAAATTTCGGAAATTTCTTCCTCAGCGAATTTCTCTTGAAGGCACACGACTCCCCTCCCCTCCCAACAGACTAAATACGACCCCTCCCCCCCTCCCCAGCGGGAAAATACGACTCCTCTATGTGTTCCACACAATGATGCCCTGCCCGCCAACATACTTGTTCACAAACTACCCTCTCTGACTGGTGGCGCCGTAGGTGTGGGCACTAAGCAATACGAGCGATAATATACTGTAGTTTTTTTTCGTTAAAGTGTCCCAAATTGAATAGCACTGCTGAGAATTACATTGTGTCCTTCGTCAGCCTTTAACAGCCTTGTTGACCTTCCGTATAACACTTTTTAGCATTGCGTCGTAAATGAGGAGACCTGGGATGAGTGTCATGAACCAGCTTTGCAATTTTTTGTCTCTTTTTCTGGGATGCCTCGAGAGCTCTCAGCCCTAACCTCAAAACTTGAGATTGATATCTGAAAACGGCTGGAAACAGCTTACCCCTTCCACTCCCCGTAAATTTTAGTACTCCGTAGTTTATGACTCCACAGTTGTAGAAAAG